ACTATTTTTGCACTATTTTGTTATGTCGAATAAAATGATTTTAAATGACAACGCATATGAAGTACTTTTTTTTAATTAAAATTTCACTTATATAGTCGAATACTTGTACGGTCCAATGCAGTCCAGTAATTTGAGACTTCAAATAAATTGTTCAATATGTATATTATCAATATAACTTTGGTTTATAGTCCGCGGATGACCGCCTGGTCTTTAATAAAGATTTTTACAAGTTAAATAATGTATCCGGTTTTATGTGGCGAAAACATTAAATGTATTTTATTCTAAATGGTTATGCAATAATTGGGTCTCAGTGTTACAAACTTGTTTTGTTATTAAAACATCTTCAAATACCTATTTATAAGATTTTCCAAATGAAATTCATATTTTTATATAGTTAAAACATGAAAAATACTAACTTTTATTATGTTTGTATGTCTGTGTGTTACAGCTTAAAGTTACAAACTCTACGTAGTTTGGACTCATCACTCTTTAAGTGTACAGCACTATTATATCATATTATATTTATTTTTTCATATGTAATACAAGAAAATTTGAACTTAACTAATTCTAATATTTTGGATACAGTAGTAAATGGCATAAACTTAACTGCAAATAATAACCTGTCTAATTTCATATAGCATCTTTCAGGGCCGTCGAGAGCTGTCACGCCGCGTGGGACAGCAATTCTGATTGGCGCCCTTATTTATCAAATTTTCCCTATATTATATATGAAGGACCTTTTATTTTTTTTTTAATTTTTTTAGGTACCTACATTTCATTTGGCGCCTCTTGGATATCTGCCGCCCGGCAAAAACTGTCCCGGTGCCCTCCCCCCTCTCGGCGGCCCTGGCATCTATGATAAAGATATATTTGCAAAAACTCTTAAATTCGCTTTGAAGAGAATAACAAACAATGGCTGAAAAATGAACCAATATAAGTTCAATTTGTAACTGGTAATAAGAAAATTCTACTGACTGCTTCCATTGATAAATAAAATTCTGGTCTTACCCAACTGTAGTATCCGGCAGGCGCCAGGTAAATTTTGATACGATAAGTAGTAAAGCAAAGAAGACAAGGTTGACGCTATTAGTTGCATCGTATTCATCTTAAAAACTATTGTTTGCGTCAGGTTGCAGTTTACGCTAAGATGGTCAAGAAAACGAATCTAAAATAATAAAATAATAAAAAATATTTTAAATCAAAATTTTTATATTATTATATACACAAAAAGGTTTAAGCTTTAGGTACCTTTTTATATGGATTAAGTAGTAGTTTCATGAAATATAAAATAGAGCCCTGGAACTGCAAAAAAATACTTAAAATTAGTAATTAAGAATATGTTAAAATTTGTAAATGTATAAAATAATTTTTAATCAGACTGCCACATTAATATTAGTCTAGTTTAAAACATTGATGCTTTTAGAAAAGTTACTAAAGCTAGTAACTATGCAAAATGAATTCTGTCAAATGAATTCTGGCCCACTCACAGCTCAGTGTAGTTAAGGCACTTTTAAAATATTATGGCGTCTGTATGATATTTTGTTGACTACGACATATTTCCGTTAAATGGTCTGGTCTGTGAATTATAAAAAGACGAAAAGTATTAAAATGATAAATTTTGCCGTATCATAAAATATAAATGTTTGTAGCGAAAAAATCCAGACCAAAGATTCTTTTTTTTTTTTTTAAAAAAAAACCATCTTAAAATCACAATCGCTTGTCCAAATTTAAATAAGATTTTATATTAAGAACTTTTTTTAGGTAAAAGGAACATTATAGTTTAAGAATATGATCTGTTCTGATCGTTTAATGGTAATTTTCCATAGTTATAAGCTCTTTCTTGGTCGGAATTCTAGTATTTTTTGTGAAAATTGATAGAAGTATTGTGTTTTGACAACTATATATAGTTAATATACATCAGAACCAATTAGAACTAGGATCAGTAGTAAATTAAGAAACTTTTTCAAAAGATTTTAACTAAATTCATGTTAATGCCGATGAGCGAAATTGATATTAAGATTCCAAAATAGTGTTCTTTAGATTCACTATTACGGGTAGTAAAAAGGTTTTGAAAATTATATATAAAAAAAAAAAACTTCTTTAAAATTTTTAAAAACCTTAAGTAAAAAGAATTATAACATTTAAAGATCTTGTTTGGACATAATATGCTGACAAAACCATGCTAATTCCAAATAAAAGTATTCGAATATTTTGTAAATCGCCTTAACTACACCGAGAGTGGATTATTTGACCGATAAAGTCGATCAAAAATATTTCGTCGAAGTTACCGCAACAATAAAAAAATCTTTAAAGTTTCCGCATAATGTAAAATATTTTTAAAATATATATTTAACTTGTATATTTGTAGATAAAAAAAAGTATATTTATAAATATAAAAATATATATAATTTATTAAAGTGAAATATTAAAAATATATATTTAATTAAAATAAAATCTTTTAAAAAAGTTTTATTAAAATTACCGCAAAAAAGTAATTGTT